CCCCGCGCTCTGGATCCAGCTGTGGATCGATGTGCAGAGGAGGGGATCGGGCTTCCCCCAACGGCCCGTCCGCTGCACCGCCGCCCCCTCCAGATCCGCCTTCCCCGCTGCGGCTGCTGCACCGCGGTGAATGCTCGAGGGCTGGGGAGGCATTTAGTGCGCCGGATCTGGGGGCGCCTCCTCCCCATAGGCTTCAGTCCATCATCGTAGGTCCTGCGCCCGGCTCAGCGGTCTCTCCCCCGCCCCCTCCACATCGCCTGCAGTCCATTATCGTCGCTCCGCACATCACGGATCCCATTTCCTCATCCGGCATGGACGTGGGTGGACGGAGGTCTCCTCCAAGAAGAACCGCGGGCGCCTTTCCGACCCGTCGGTCCGTAGCGGGTTCCCCCCGCCTCCTCGCCGGGATCGCCGGCCTGCGTTCAATGCGGCAGATGGCCGCGGGGCCTTCTTAAGCCGCTTCAGAGGCCGTTGCTTCAGGTGCCTTAGCAAGCTCCACCGCCGGAAGGACTGCCGCGATCCCCTCCACTGCATCATTTGCGAGCGTCCTGGCCATTTCGGCCGAGAGTGTCCCCAAAATCCAAAAAATGGCCCGGGCGGCCCTGCCGCTGCTAGGTTAGGTCCGTCTGCCTCGCGCATCCCCATCGCCTCTCGGCTGCTGTTCCCGTCTCTGCCTGCTGCTTCCTCACCGGCTCCCGCTGCCACCCCCATGGCGGAGCTCAGCCTCACTGATCCGGCGCGCCGTCCCCGCACCAGCCACAGGGTCGGCGTCTCCACGGTGGAGGTGGAGCGGGCAGCCTTCTTCCTCACGCAGCACGCGGTCACGCTGCGCGCCTTCGGCGGGGTGGCGGCCACGTCGCCCATGGCAGTTGGGCGTGCCCTGGAGGCCCAACTCTGCGTCCCGCCCCACCAGCTGAGGGTGACGGCGCACTACCCCGAAGATTTCCTCGTCGTCTTCACCCAGCCAGCCCACCACGCCAACGCCGTGCGCCGCGGCACGCTCCGCGTCGACAACGCCAACTTCACCATCCTGCCATGGCGTGAGGACGATCATGCCGGCTTCGCCACCTTCAACCTGCACGTCCGCTGTGTCATCGAGCACATGCCCATGCAGTACTGGTCCTTCGAGGGGGCTTAGGACGTGTTCGGCGACAAGGTCTGCGTCGACCGCCTCGACAGCTGCACGCTGGAGCGCGGCCACACCAAGACCTTCGCGTGCTGGGTCTGGGTGTGGGACATGGCTTTCATCCCGACGAGGCACACCTACTGGAAGCTGCCACGGGGCGCGGGGCGCGTCGAGGAGATGGACGGCTTCTCGCCGCCGGACCGTAGGGTGGCTCCCCCTCCAGGCGCGACGCGGTATGACCTGCTCATCCACGTCGATCGCATTGAAGACTGGTCGCCGCGGTCGCCGCGCTCCTCGCACTCTGCGTAGAGCGGCATGCCGTCCTCCGGCTCCGACAACGACGACACGCTGCCGCTCACCTACATGGGCTCCTGGACCATGCATGTCGAGGATGGCCAGCGCGAGGAGCACCACAAGCGCCAGGCCCACCCCCCGGTGGTGGACACGGGCTGCCGGGGCATGCCTCTTGGCGGCCCTAGGCGGGACCACGACAGCGACGGTGCGGGAAGGAGGTCCTGGAAGGACACGCTGCTGGGGTGTGGCCGCGGCCACCAGGAGCGGGGCGAGGCTTCTTCAAAGCAACGCCGCAGCCGCTCCCCCCCAGCGCGCCACCACTCCAGTGGCTCCAAGGGCAACAGGCGGCACGGCGCGCGCCACGGCCGCAAGATGGGGGCCGCAAACGCGCAAGGTGCGCCCCCCCTGCACCGCCTGCCCCGCGCGACGACGTCATCGACGAGTTCTTCTCCAACGCAAAGAAGCCGATCACGCCCATGGGACGGGACCGCGCCGAGGAGGCGGCCATCGACGCGAAAATCCAAGCCACGCTGGCTGAGCCGCTCGACTTCGCCGACAAGAGGAAGCCAGCTGAGAGCGCAATTAAGGATGCAGCCCCGGACGTCTTTGGCCCCACCCTCGCCGGGCCAAACCCAGTCAACTTCAACTGACGCACGCCCACTGTTGCATCCACGGTGGCGCTGTAGCTGGGGGAGGTGACGGAGATGGTCTGCCATCTGGAGTTAGAAAAATCTGCTGACGCCCCCCGCCGCCTCTTCGCAGCTCCAGCACCGGGCTCCTCCCCCCGCCCCCAGCCAAGCAAAACTCCGCTCCGCCCAAGACCCGTGCGACATCCGTGCCTCCACCCCGTCAGAGCGCACGCCAGGCCGCGCAGAACAATGCAACCCCGGTGGCCGAGCGCGCCACGCTGAGGTTGGTGAAGGGGCTGGGGCTGCTCGGGCACAAGGAAAAGATGACGGCCAAAGCGGCGGAGGCCCTCATCCACAGATTCGACGAGCCCCTCACCGACGATGACATCAGCACCATCGCCAAGCTGACCAGGCTCAACAAGGACGCGCTCCGCGTCGCCGTGGGGATGGCGGGACCTGAAGCTGCTGCCGAGGAGGCCGTAGTGTAGTCATGTTAGGTCTTCACTGCTTTCTCTGTTCCGTCCGTAGTTTCCGGTAGCGGCTGCCATTAGGGTGGCTCAAGTTAGATTTAGTTCTTCCCTGTCCCAGTAGTGGTAGGAGGCATGGTCTGCGCCGTCGAGAGTTGGGGCCTATTGGTGGTCGACGGC